CATTCAGCTTGGGGTTCATCAAGAAATGTTTTAGAACATTAATTTAGGGATAGAGTTCAATTATCTGATTAAAAGGAAAAATATGACTTCAAAGTGAAAATCAATGTTCCACATTTAAAAGTAAGGTGGTTTATTTTTTGAATCACCACAGTTTGGGGGCTAGGGGAGGGGTAGCATGAGATGGGGGATGGGGAGGGGTAGCATTAGGAGAAATGCCTAATGTAGATGAGAGGGTGATGGATGCAGCAAACCACCATGGCATGTGTACACCTATGTTACAAACCTGCACATTCTGCACATGTATCCCAGAACTTAAAGTAAAATAAATAAATAAATAAAATTTTTAAAAAGACAAATAATCATAAAAAGGAAGAAATTATGTCATCCCATTAGTTAGCTCTCTGACATAGTATTCTAATTAAAAATTATGGAGATCTGATAGATTGACATAATAATACATATATTCCAAATAGCAAAGAACAATTCTGTTTGTTCATAAAATTCCAGGAGATTTTAAACAATTGACTCAGAGCTATATATAAGCAAATGTAATTATGGATCTTTTTTTTTTTTTTTGAGATGGAGTTTCACTCTTATTACCCAGGCTGGAGTGCAATGGCACGATCTCGGCTCACCGCAACCTCCGCCTCCTGGGTTCAAGCAATTCTCCTTCCTCAGCCTCCCAAGTAGCTGGGACTACAGGCGTGCACCACGAGGCCCAGCTAATTTTTGTATTTTTAGTAGAGACAGGGTTTCACCATGTTGACCAGGATGGCCTCAATCTCTTGACCTCGTGATCCACCCACCTCGGCCTCCCAAAGTGCTGGGATTATAGGCGTGAGCCACCGTGCCAGGCTGTAATTATGGATCTTTATGAAAATAAGAAATTATTTTCCAGTTTAACAGAAAATAAAAAATAAGAATGCTTGGGCGAATAGGGGGTATTTTCTGGCATTTTAATTTCAAAATTCCTGAAGATAATTTAAAAATCTCCAGGGAACATTGTCATACAGTTGAATCTAATAAAAAACTCTTATGTAGCAATTGTGTGTGTGTGTATGTGTGTGTGCGTGTGTCTCAACATGTTACCTAGCAATTTCATACCTAGTACTTGCCCAAGAGGAAAAAAAATAAATATCCACAAAAACATCTAAACAAAATCTTTATAAGCATTTTTATTTATTACTGCCCCAAATGGAATCAATCCACATGTTAATTAGCTGGCAAATGTATAAACAAACTGTAGTACATCCATATAATATGATATTACTCAGCAATCAAAAGGATCAACCTGTTGATATTATAAACAACATGAATAAGTCTCAAAAACATTATGCTAAGCTCACAAAACATAAATAAAAGGCTGCATACTATAGAATTCCCTTTATATGATGTGCTAAACAAGGCAAATATGTAGGGTTGCTTTAAGATCTAATCTTTTTAAATTAATTTTATTGTGTATATTTAAAGTATGCAACATGATGTTATGGGATACATATAGACAGTAAAATTGTTACCATAGTAAAGCAAATTAACATATCCATCATCTCAAATAGTTACCATTTTTTGTGGCAAGAAAAGGTCAAATGTATTTACTTAGTAAAATTATTTACAGTGTAATTTTTATTAACTATAACACTCATATTGTACTTTAGATCTCTATCCTTGCTTATTATACTTATCTGCCACTTTGTATCCTTTGACCTACATTTACCTACCCATTTCCTCCCCACCCCCATAAACACTGTTTCATTCTCTATATATTTGATTTTTTCTTTTTCATTTTTTTTCATATTTCACAGATAAATGAGATCATTGAACATTTTTCTTTCTGTTTATTTCACTTAGCATAATGTGCTATGGGTTCGTCCATGTGTGGCAAATGACAGGATCTTCTTATAGGACTGAAAAATATTTCATTGTGTGTATATATATGTATATAGATATTGTGTACCATTCATCCATTGACACATACATGGGATGTTTTCATTGACTATTGTAAATAAAGCTGCAATGAACTTGGAAGTGTGGATATTTTTACAGAGTGGTGATATCATTTCCTTTGGAAATATACCCAGGAGAGGAATTGTTTGGTTATATGATTGTTCTATTTTAATTTTCTTAGAAAACTTCATACTGTTTTTCATGATGGCCACACCAAAGTACATTCTCACAGTGTACAAAACTTCCCCTTTTCCACACACCCAGTAATACTTATTATTGCTTGTTTGTTTTGATAATAGTCATCCTGATTTTGAGATTGTTTTTCATTTTATAAGAAACAAATTTCAACATTTTAAGTAAATATTGGTAAAAGCCAGTAATGAATGTCCTCTATGGAATAAACTATGACACAGAGAACTACATATAAATGATACAGAAGTGCTGGAAAAGGAAGAGAATAGTCCCTTTGAATGATATGGAAGATGAGAAGGGAAGTGCTGGGTAGAGGAAGGGTGTGGTCCCTGGCTATGGTTCAATCCTCATGGACCTAGGTGAGGACAGGCACTCCTGCCTTCATGCCCAAATGTTGCATTTCCCAAGACCACCCTGGCCTACCATGCCCCCATCCCGTGCCTATAGAAATCCCTAAGACCCTAGCAGGGAGACACGTGGGCAGCTGGACATCGAAAGGAGCACATCAGTGGAGGAACACACAGGCGGCTGGACGTATAGAGGAATGCACCAACAGGCACTGGCCCACCGGCAGACCACTGACCAGCAGAACAACACGGAGTCTTGCTGGGGCAGTCAGAAAAGCACTGGGGCTGCCATCTCCCCTCCAACCCCCGCCAGCTGCCAAGACCTACTTCCTCCCAGTAAAACCTTGCACTCATTCTCCAGGCAAGAACCCCTGCATGCAGAAAGCCCTCTGTCCTTGCAATAAGGCAGAGGTCTAACTGAGCTGGTTAACACAAGCTTATAGACTGTAAAACTAAAAGAGCAAAACTAAAAGAGCACCCTGTAATACGTGGCCTCTGGTGCTTCAGGAGCTTTAAACATGCTGCCCTAGACACTGCCATGGGATTGGAGCCCCACAACCTGCCCTTCTGTATGATCCCCTAGAGATTTGAGCCGCAGGGAACTGAAGAACCAAGTCACTCTCCCTGTTGCATGCCTTGCAAAGGGACAAGGGAACATTTTCTGTTTCAAAAACACGTGGAACTAATGACTATCCCATAACCAAATCAAGCTGAATGACAGGATGTTGTATGTAATAAAGAAGAGATTTTTTTGTATCTGTATGTGTAGCTACTCACATACAAAATAAATGTGCCAAATGCCAAATGATTATTACTATGTTCCGAATTGTTTCCCCTTCAGAATTCACGTTGAAGACATAATCCCAAGTGTGGCTGTATTTGAAGATAGGACATTTAGGGGTTAATTAAAATTAAATGAGGTCATAAAGGTGGGATACTAATCTGATAGAATTGGTGGTCTTATAAGAAAAGGGGTTGATTCTTTCTTTCTCTCTCTCTCTTTCTCTCTCCCTCCCTTCCCACAGGCACACAACAGGGACTAAAGAAAAATGATGGGAACGAACTGAAAGAAAGTGGTGGCTATCTGCAATCCAGGAAGAGAGGTCTCACCAGAAACCACTTCTGAATTGGCTGGCATCCTGATATCAGATTTACAACCTCTGGAATGTTAAAAAAAAAAAAAAAAAATTCCTGTTGCTTGAACTACCCAGTCTATAGTATTTTGTGATAACAATCCCAGCTGATTCAGGCAGGTAAGTACCAAATAAATTTCTAATTATGAAACACTTTTTCAAAAAACAAGCATAAGACATCAAACATATCTAATTTTCAGTGGGTATAAATTGAAATGAGAGAATATATCAATGTGCCATGCTGAGAAGATAAAGATCATGTTATCTCTGCATTTTTTATATTCTCCAAAGGTCAAAACTACTGCATCATAAAAATTGTAATGTCACAAAGCTTGTAAGTTGTGTATTTTTATTTAATTTTTGCACATATAATATTGGAAATCTTACATTACTGAAGCATGAAATGCTGAAATCAGGTCATGTTATTTATGATATTGACACTAGCCTAGACATTTTTAAAAATCCTAATCAATTGTCAATGGTTATAATGATTATAAAATTGCTTGTGAAACTAGTTTGTGTACGGACCCATAGTGGAAAGAGAATCACATTCACCACTCTTTATTCACTAAAAAGAGAGATGATATTAATCCTTTAAAATATTTGTATTTTATTTAGTATTTAGTCCTTCTTTGAAATGTGTTAGTCAAGGAAGACTTCCTAAAATGTAGATGTGTATTTAAAATATTATAAGACTTTAGTTATCACATTTGTTTATAAGAAAAGTCACTGAAAAATTCTTAATGGTCTCAGAGCTAAAATGTCTAAGGAAATACTTGCTTCAGCAGCAGTTATAAGTAGTTACTATTTCCTAAGGACATGTTACATGCCAGAGTTACTACATACGCTATACTTTCATTCTCATAACATTTCTACAAAGCATATCCTAGTACTTCCACTTCACCAATAAAATTAATAGCTAACATTTATTAATTAGGTACCAGGTGGTAAGCACTGTATTTCACATGAATTAATTCCATTAGCACCTATAGAAACAATGAGTCTTTCAGAGAGCAGTAGGGAATTATTGCCAATAATGAGGAAGTAAATGTCATTTCCACTTTATGGGTAAGGCAGCTGAAACACAGAGATATTAGGTGACTTGTCCAATATCACACAGCAAATGTGGGTTAAACTTTCCTGTCTCCTTCTGTGATTGCAACTTAATCACTGCTTAGAACATTTTGCCTGATGTTCTAAGCAGGAAGAAAATTCCTTAATGTCACCCAAAGTAACAAATTATCCCATTTTGACGCCAAAATTGAAATATTTCCACTCTATACCATATTATCATGTGAAATATATGCATTCACTACAACATATTGTGGTTAAAATATTTAGTGAATTATGCCTAATATAGCAATATAGTTAATTTTGTTTTTGGCCAGGAGGAGTCGCGCGCTGCTGCTGCTGTTGCCGCCGCTGCTCTCGCCGCTGTCAGTCAGGCTGCGCCCGCTTCTTCAGGGCCCAGTCCCTCGGACCCATCGCCCCTTCTAGACCCTACTGCGGTCTCGGATCTTGCCGGGAAAATGTCTGATGAATTTTCGTTGGCAGATGCGCTACCTGAACACTCCCCTGCCAAAACGTCTGCTGTGAGCAATACAAAACCTGGCCAACCTCCTCAAGGCTGGCCAGGCTCCAACCCTTGGAATAATCCAAGTGCTCCACCTTCGGTGCCATCTGGACTCCCACCAAGTGCAACACCCTCTACTGTGCCTTTTGGACCAGCACCAACAGGAATATATCCCTCCGTGCCTCCCACCGGGCCACCTCCAGGACCCCCAGCATCCTTTCCTCCTTCCGGACCATCATGCCCCCCACCTGGTGGTCCTTATCCAGCCCCAACTGTGCCAGACCCTGGCCCCACAGGGCCATATCCTACACCAAATATGCCCTTTCCAGAGCTACCTAGACCATATGGTGCACCCACAAATCCAGCTGCAGCTGGTCCTTTAGGTCCATGGGGATCCATGTCTTCTGGACCTTGGGCACCAGGAATGGGAGGGCAGTATCCTACCCCTAATATGCCATATCCATCTCCAGGGCCATATCCCGCTCCTCCTCCTCCCCAAGCCCCTGGGGCAGCACCACCTGTTCCATGGGGCACAGTTCCACCAGGAGCCTGGGGACCACCAGCACCATATCCTGCCCCTACAGGGTCGTATCCTACACCAGGACTCTATCCTACTCCCAGTAATCCTTTTCAAGTGACTTCGGGACCTTCTGGTGCTCCACCGATGCCTGGTGGCCCCCATTCTTACCATTAAGTTAACAATGGATGAAGAAATGACGTTTAGCTTTTTGAAGTACATCTATATGCACATGAATGCATATATAAAAATTGTTGGTTTCACTATTAGAGGGCATTCATGAAAGAACAACTCTTGCACCTCTCAGAGAAGATAACTGCCTCTTGTACCTGGATGTGTAGTACATCGTATGTATACAATCAGATAAAAGCATAGAAGTAAATCATTCGGATGTGATTTTTATTTGGTTTTCATGGAAAGTTAAAGTGATTTAGTATATTGAATAGCTCTTTGACAGAATTTGTTTAAACTATGAAACTACACACTTAAAAATCTAAGATGATGTGTGGATTATTGCTAGAATCTGCAACTCATTGGCAATTTATTTCAAGTATTTTTCTATAATCGCTTTCCCCTCCAAATAAATACACTTTGAGAATAACCCCTCATATCTAAACAAATGATGCCTCTCAACATTTTGAGCTGCTCTGTTGGATAAATAAATCTGGTCCTCTTGAGGTTATATTTTGGATATACATTTTTAAACTGTCAGTAATTATTGTCAGATGTGAAGTTTAGTAGACAGCCAGTGTTCATTTTTATCCTTGAGCTTTTAATAAAACTTCCTTGTTTGTTTTGAGTCATATGGGCCATACAGCACTAAAATCTGCTCTTTATGGAAACTTTTTTCTTTTTAATCCAGGCCAACATGTATGTAAATTAAATTTTTAGATAATTGATTATCTATTTGTACTACTTGAGATTTGATTATGAGATGTGCATATTGCTTTGGAAAAAGCTCAAGAAAGGAAATAATTCTCTCCTTTGTTTTGAACCTCAAACTAGATAAACCCTAGGCATTGCTTAATTGCAACAAGTAGTTTTCTTTCCCACAAAAAAACTGAGGCAGCTCTTCTGCCCAGGGCATTCCCTGCAGCCACCCCCACCCCAGTTGCCCTTGGTTCTTTAGAAGGAGCACAGCCCTTGATTCCTCCCTGATGTGGTAAACTGGCACACTCTAAAGGTGTAAAACATAAAACAGTTGTGTTTAGAGAACCTTAAGTCATGCAGATATGACTGTTCTCTTTGTACAAGTGTGAATCAAAATAATGCATCTTTCAGAGTCTTGTTAAGCTATGTCATTGTCTCCTGCATAGTTTCCTGAGTCTTTTTGTAAAGTGCTTTTGGCTAACAGTTCAGTTCTGTATTTGTTGACAGGTAAATAAGTGGAGTTGAGTGCCATCTTTGAAAAAATTACCCTCTAGCTCTAACACTGAAAATAATAAATTGTAGATCTCTGCAACTGGGTTTAAAGCAATGTGACTGTATTGCTTAAATGTTAATTATTGTTTATAACCACCAAAAAACAGCCCTAGTAGTTTTTTGGCACCTTATGTTTAAATCAGATTCTTAGATTTGGGGTAGACCTGACCTTGCTATTTATTAGATAACATTTTGAATGTATCCATTGGATTTCTAAAATGTATCGTGAATTTTCTCAGACAAACAGGATTTATGTTGGAGCTCTGTTTTTACTTAGAAATAAAATATTTAGTTTATTTCTGCTCTAATTAAAATGTCAAGAATGCCAAAAATAATAATAATAATTTTGTTTTTAATTCTAGAAATTTCAAATCATATTATGAAATATATGTAGTTATCCTTTGCATTTAATTCTTATACTGCAATCCATATGCAAAATTTTAAATATTGTTGGTAAGCATTTACTTAAGATTTTGATAGATTTGTTGACGAATTATGTACAATACTATATTATCTCGATACATAACAATTATAATTCTATGAATACATAGGTCCTAAGTAGCTAGATTCCTCAGATATCTCCTATACATGTGATAGCATTGGCTTGATATATAAGCTGATTAAATTCTCAGTTGCACTACAGTCAATTGGTCTCTTCTCTTGTCAAAGAACTATGTTATCACATGTTATTATTCTAGGGTAATCAGACATTCTGCATGGTATAGGAATTGAGTATTGAGTTTTGGATACCTTTTGTTTAATACATGGGCTTTTTATATTGCTTACTCTTCCTACCTTAATAGTCTTTTGAAACATCATAGGAGAACATTTGCCACTCTTTTTCATAGTTAATATTTCTGTATTTTCACATAATTGCATATTGAGATATATTCATAATTACCATTACTATGCAACTTCTTTTAAAATGGTAGAAAAATATTAACTTTCAAATAGGTGGTTTAGACAAATATTTAGAGCCTTCATGAAACATATTTTTCAGAAAACTCAAAAAACTGTAAGGACAGAAAGAACAGAAAGCACATGGATTCTAACCTTCCAATTTATCCTTTCATCCTCTGATCAGTAACCCTGCTAAATGACTACCTAGCCTTCATTGTGATGTCTCAATAATGAAGAACTCTAAAGACAAAACTTTCTAACTTTACACTTCTCTGGCTGTTTAAAACGTTTTTGTTACAGTGAAAACACTTGCCTTAATTCTATGTTTTAAAACCCTGTGTAACTGAAATATACATTTAACATAAAATTATGATGACAATAAACATAACACTTTTTCTCTAATAAGCTCTGGGCTCATCTCACAATCGCTTAGAAGAGTCCATCTTTTCCCTAAAAAAAAAAAAAATTATTCATTAATACCTAGAAATTTTGTAAACTTTCCCATTGTTCTACAGTAAGATTCAGCTGATCAAAAGACTTGAAGTCATTTACAACAAAAAATTTTAGCTTTTTATTCTTAACATCTTGTTTGAAAAGAGAAAAAAATTAAACAAAGTTGATTTAAATACAAAGGTAAGGCACTGGTTGTATAATGGCATAGTCCAGGTACTGTTTGATTTGGAAGCCCAAATAACATCATCCAGACCCATTTCTCATCTGAGGTTTCATATTCCATTACATTTGCCTTATTCTCAGAATCTACGTGGGGCCCTGATCAACCAGTAAGAGATATTTTCTTTTCTTCTTTTTCTTCATGTTTTTCTTTTGGCCAGGTTAATGTAAATCAGAAAAGAAAATCTCTCTCTTGAGATTGTTCTGTTAGGATGGATTTGAGACAGCTGCTCATGTTCATTCAGCGGTGGCTGGAGGAACCTGATGCTGGGAATTATGTAATGCTCTGAATACAGCCTGGAACATTTTACAAACTCAATAGGTGTTCACTGTTTTTATTATTAACCAACTCTGTTTCTATGCTACTTCTGGAGCTAAACCACATTTGAATTAAGCCAGTGGAGTATCATAGTAGTTATGGGTACTGTTGGTTGAGAAAAGGGTCATGGATATTGCCCAAATTTGAATTTCAAACATCCACATCCACTGTCTGCACTGAGTGTTCATTTACTCTCACCAGCATTGTTCTAACATGTCCAATATTAAGATATTTTTTATGAGTAGAAGAGGAGACTCCATTTTTTTCTCATTTTTCACAAAATTAACTATATGTCTATTTTATCTACTGAGATTGTTTCAATAGAGACTATTACTACGAGGCTCATTTATATTTTCAATCTTTGTCTTCCTCTCTGCTTCAATCTTGATGATTGCTATTGATCTGTCTTCATATTTAATGAACCTTAGAGTCTAATCTACTGTTAAGTTCCCATAGTTAGAACTTTTGACTTTCAAGACTCTGTATTTTTTACTTCTAAAATTCCATTTGGCCCATTATTAGAGTATCAATTATGTCTAAAATTCCCAGCCTCTTAATTCATTAGATCCTTCTTTTCCTAAATTTGCTTTAAGTTCTGTATGATTATTTTGAAGTTGCCATATTTGGCTATCTCTTCCTGCATTATTTGCTTAGGAAAATGGCCTCCTGCTCCATCCATGTTGCTGCAAAAGACACGATGTTGTTATTTTTTAATGGCTGTGTAGTGTAACATGGTATATATGGTTTTTTGGTTTTTTTTTTTTTTTTTTGGTACCATCTACCGCTGACAGGTGCATTTAGGTTGAGTCCATAACTTTATTGTAAATAATGCTGTGATGAACATATGTGTGCAAGTGTCTTTATAGTGGAAAGATTTATATCCCCTTTCGTATATACCCAATGCTGGGATTGATGGGTTGAATGTTAACTTGGTTTCAAGTTTTTTGAGGAATCACCACACTGCTTTTCACAATAGCTGAACAAATTTACATACCCACCATCAGTGTATAAGCATTCCTTTTTCTCTGCAGCCTCACCATCATATGTTCTGTTTTGACTTTTTAGTAATAGCTATTCTGACAGTATGAAATGGTATTTCATTGTGCTTTTTATTTGCATTTCTCTAATTATTAGGGATGTTGAACATTTTTTTATATGCTTATTGTCCATGTGTATGTCTTCTTAAAAAAAGTGTCTGTTCATGTACTTTGCCCACTTTTTAATGGGGTGATTTGTTTAATACTTGTGCATTTGTTCAAGTTCCTTGTAGATTCTGGGTATTAGATTTTTGTTGAATCCCTGGTTTGCAATTTTTTTTTCCATTCTGCAGGTTATATTTACTATATTTGGTCTTCTTGTTGAATTGAACCTTTACCATTAGGTAATATTCTTTCTCTTTTTTAAAATCATTGCTGGTTTAAAGTCTTATTTGTCTGAAATTAGAATAGCAACCCCTGCCTTTTTCTGTTTTCTGCTTGCTTTGCAGATTTTTCTCCATCCCTTTGCTTTTTCCCTATACGTATCATTGCAAGTGAGGTGGGTCTCTTGAAGACAGTATACTGTTGGGTCTTGCTTCTTTATCCAGCTTGCCACATTGTGCCTTTTAATTGAGACATTTTGTCCATTTACATTCAAGCTTAATATTAGTATATGCAGATTTTTCCCTGTCATGATGTTGATAACTTGTTATTATGCAGACTTGTCAGTGTGATTGCTTTACAGTGCCAATGGTCTATATACTTAAATGTGTTTTTACGGTGACCAGTAATGTTCTTTCGTTTCCAAAGTTAGCATTCTTTTAAAGGTCTGTTGTAAGACAGGATTAGTGATAATGAATTCCCTTAGCATTTGCTTGTATAAAAGGGATCTTATTTCTCCTCCACTTATGAAGCTTAGTTTGGCTGGGTATGAAATTCTTGGCTGGAACTTCTTTCCTTAAAGAATGCTGAATATAGATGGCCCCCCAGCCTCTTCCAGCTTGTATGGCTTCTGCTGAAAGGTTCACTGTTAGGCTGATGGGGCTACCTTTGTTGGTGATCTGCCCCTTCTCTCTCACTGCCTTTACCATTTTTTCTTTCATTTTGACATTGGAGAATCTGATGACTATGTATCTTGAGAAGGGTCATCTTGTGGGTTATCTGCATTTCCTGAATTTGAATGTTGGCCTCTTTAGTAAGGTTGGGAAATTTTTCATAGACAATATCGTGAAGTATCTTTTCAGGTTGCTTACTTTTCCCCTCTCTATTTTAGGAACGCCAATGAGACATAGATTTGGTCTATTTACATAATCCCATATATCTCAGAGATTTTGTTCATGCTTCTTCAATCTTTTTCTTTATTTTTGTCTTACCAGGTTACTTTGGAGAACTGGTCTTTGACTCTGAGATTCTTTCCTCAGAGACAGACTCTGGTTGATTGTGCTGTTAATACTTATGAGATTATTCTGAAATTTTTGAAGTGAGTTTTTCAACTTTTTAAGAACAGTTTGGTTCTTTTTGAAAATGGCCATTTTGTCTTTCATTTTCTGTATCATTTTATTGTATTCCTTCCCTGAATCCTCTTGGGTTATAGGAGACCTGGTCAGCATCGGTGGAGGGAGGAGCCACAGGGAGTCCTAAATGTGGGGGTATTCCTGAGGAGGGGCCAGTATGGCATAGGGTACAAGCCTTACATAGCTGAGGATTATCCCTTAGAGAAAAGAAAATTTGCACATAGGGGACTTCAATCTGTTTACCTTTGCTTTTACAGAACAGGTCTATTTGTAGAATGGTGTTATAATTTATACTTCCCTTAGGAGGCCAGGTTTCTGCACTCAGCAGAGGGTATAGTGACCACTCTGTTTGTCATAGAAAAATGAGCCACTTCTTCAAAGATCATGTGTCAAATTGGTCCCAGCTATCCAGGATACACTTTAAGGGCGATTATGCCTTGGGAAGAGTAGCATCCATCTGAAATCACAGAAATTCCTGCATCTCTGATTATTTTTTACAACTGCAAGCCTTGGGTAGTCCCCCAGTTATAGTGATAGCACTGGCATGTTCCCCATTTATAGCACCTTGTAATTTCCTTATGCCCTAGATGTGTGGTCATTTTCTGGGCCCCCCATTTGCCAGGTTTAATCACACTTACTGGCATTATGGGCATATCCTCACTGTCTAAATGTCCTTATTGACCACCATAAGGACATGGGGATTGCTGAGATTAGTGGTTCTGCACTGGCGTGTCCTTGAAGAACTAGGACAGTGATGCTTGGTTGATGGGTGGCAATATTCCCTTGCAAGGGTTTAATTTACATAGGTCTGATCCTAAAACTGTCCCAGGAGGATAAACTTGAGAAGGACCTCTAAGCACAATAATTTTAAAAAGCATTAGGAGGCCGAGGCGGGTGGATCACGAGGTCAAGAGATCGAGACCATCCTGGTCAACATG